TATTTAAAGTGTAAAGGTGACACTGGGGGTATTTTGGACCCACAGCATTACCTTAAAGAGTACCTGTCACCACCAATCTGGGGGGGCTTTTACACCTCCCTATGTGATAGAAATTAAAGTTAAAAAAAATACAGTTTTTAAAAATAGTATCAAATGAAATAAATGTAAAAATAATTTGAAAAAATGTTTAAAGTCCCCCGCAAGCACGCGTGCCATAAAGTAAACACACGTCGGGTGCACCTAATTATGAAAATGACCATTGCAATATACATGTTTGGTATTGCCATGCACGCCAGAGTGAGAGCAATAATTCTAGGGCCAATATTTATGCGTAACTCAAAACTGATGACCTGTAGGAGTTTTTAAATCGTCATCTACGGACTTTTTAGGGTACTGAATTTTGTCGCCGTCTCACAGACTCACGCAATTTGTAACCTGGGCATGTTGGATATCTATTTACTCGTTGTAACCTCATCTTTTATATTTTTTGGAGAAAATGTTTTAATTGTGTTTTGTGGCACTAAATGTAACTTTAGTGCATTTTTCACTACATTTTTGGGTTTGATTAAAAAGTTGCGCAATATCGTGCAACATAAAAAATTGCCACCATTTTATTCTACAGGGTCTTGGCTTTCAGAAAATATATAATGGTTGGAAGTTTGAAGTAATTTTCAGGCCTATGTGGATTACAACATGGGTGCAAAAAATGAAAAAAAAAAAAAAGGCTTCGGTCATAAAGGGGTTAAAAGCCATCCAAAGCCCATGTGCTTTGATTTTGTTTTCACATAACTATATATAAAATACATTAGGTCAAGACTTAATTCAGCCCCTGCCCCTAAAACATAAACTTGGTGTTGTGCTGCATCAATAATTCAGCCGTGCTTTCACAGGATCAGATTGAGTCTGCAGTGGCAGCTTTTGAACATTGAGTCCATTTCTGTTTCCCATTATTTACTTGGCAGCTCGGATGTCATTGCTTCCAGTTGTCTCTCCTGTATCTTCATATTGTGTTTTTCTCTTAAAGTGACATTAAACCCTCAGATTTTTTAACATAAACCAATACTGTAATGTGTGCCTTACTGTAATGCATGGTTGTTTCCCTTCTCTTTGCTGCTCTTCCTTTTAAATCTGTATCTGTTCTCATGCTGGGCAGAACTTCTGTTTTGCAGCAGACTGCCTTGTCTCTGGAATGGATATATGGTGTCTGTGTGTAGGTTCACAACCTGAGCCAGCACTACAGGAAGAGGCAACCAGCTGCAAAGGGAAGTTCTCACCAAGCAAAAAATTGAGGGTTTAATGTCACTTTAATGCCTGAAGGCCTTCACTCTGAGAGTTAGGTGCCATTTCGGAGTTGGTGTTGCTTTAACCTTTGAGATTTATCACTGCAGGTTTTCAAGAAGAGCTTTGCAAGAGATTGCATTGCTTTCTAAATTAACTTGTGTCACATGACCTGTTAGGAGAATGCAAATAATTAGTTCTGAACGGGGAGCGCCTGATGCAGTGGATAAAGATTACACAGTACAACCTCGGGAGACCTACAAAGATGCTGAATGCTTTTCCTGCTACATTTGCCTGGGCTATTTAAGTAACTTGATAAGCTTTGCATGTAATTGTCATTCATAACCCAAACTGAATTGCATTATCTTCCTATTTGCGTCTCAAAGTGAAGCCGGATGGAGTGGTGTCTCATCTCATCCTTTAAAATTGCTGTGACATTTCTGTGTGGCTGAGCTGGCTGCTTGACTGAGTCAGTGGGTTATGTGAAATAAACAGGGCTTCTAGGCATACACCAAACAAGCCCATCCGAAAGAAATGTGCTTTTTACACTGTGCAAGAATCATTGTATTTACATGTATATTACCAGAACTGACAATGAGGCCACAAAGTTCATATAAAAGACACCCCTGATATGAACTAGAATTGGCTGTCAGGATGTGTGATCTTAATAGTGGTCATATATGGTACAACTGCACTGTTGTACACTGTATTGCATTCATTGTACAGTATACACATATACTGCCATTTGAAATAAGCAAAAGAGACATTTTGATGCAACACTTTGTTTTTGGTCTTGGCAAAATAAGCGCCTTCACTTTGAAATTACTCTTTCTCAGTTCCAACTAATGCAAGAGTTGAGTAAATCTTAACAATCAGCTAAATACAATAATGAGATACAAATAAGAGACCTGAAAAAACGTTTAAAACCGTGCCTGAAGAAGGGGAACTGTTTCTGAAAGCTTGCAAAATATAACCAATTAGTCCAACAAAAGGTATAACATACATTTTTACTTTGCAACTGCTTAGAGATTTATGAATATGTGTGGCCAGTCCTAAGACTTGAATAACTAAGTTGTTGACCTAATTTTTCTCTCTGCTGTTTGAGCAATACAGCCCTATCACCTACCCAGCTTGTGTCAGCGTGTTCTGTGTCAGCATGCCTGGTCAGCTCAAATCACATTACATTAGGGTACTTAGAGTAGGGTTCCTACTTGGTTTAAATAACACACTCCTTGTTTTTTGATGGCGACATAATTATAGTGATTGTTTCCTGATAGTGGTAGGTTGCCTTGATCGTTTTTCAGATTTCAGTAATTATAAGCTGGTTTAAATTGCCTTAAAAGTGTTATATGTATTGGCAATATCAATGCTAATAAGATCAATTGCTATGCCACATGAGGTGCTTTGAGGAAAGAAGTAAGCAATGTATTGCACCGCAAAAAGCAGCAATAAATAAAAGTAAACACTCCATACGATCCAATTCAAAACACTGTATTCCAAATCCTTTTAAAATGCTTCTACCAATCAGAAGCCGATTAATCGATGATTGGAAAAGTTGACAACTTTTTCAATAATCGATTATAATCGATTATGACGATTAGTTGTTGCAGCCCTATCACAGACACAAGCCAGATGCCTGTCTAAGCTACTTCTATTTCAGTTACAGTTAAAACTCTAGTAAAAGGCTCCCGGTAGTATCAACAGTCCCGGGGATGGCCTATTAGGTACCTCAAGCTCTGTGCTCTTGTGGGAAAGCAGTAAGTCAATTATGAGCAATTCAAGGTCTGGCTCCTTGGTTTTGTCCAGCCCTGCTGACAGATTGATGCTTTGAGTAATCATCAGGTTTTAAAGTACACATTTACTTAGAAAAACATGTAGGTCCTGTGTCGACAACCTTTTGTTAACAGACTGCGTCTCTCTCTCTATACAAGTCAATGAGAATGCAAAAGCAACCTCAAGCAGGTCAAATGCAGGTCAAAGATATAAGGACTATCCCCATCTTTTATACTTTGAGTCATTGACTTGGTTGGAGCATGAAGCAGGTCAAATCAACGCAATGTCAGTACTGCTTGCGTGCATTCTGGTTTCTAGTTAATGGCAGCCTACATGTTCCCTCTGTATAAGTTTCCTTTTAAAATCATTGCCTGTAAATGATATTTCCCACAAAGCCTTTCTCCTGAGCAGGAGAGGAAAACAGTCATTCCACTGAATCTCTCCAGGAACATTACTATATTTAGCAAATGTATAATTAATCAACATTTATGAACATAAAGGTTGATTGTAAAAATAACCATTTCATTCTTCCTTGTGGCATTTTCTTGCAACATCACAGCTTAGTAGACCAAGTTTTTATTTAGCAGTATGTAATGTCTAAAAATATTCTTTTATATGTAACAATTTATTTATGAAAATGTATTCCTTGCTGCAATAAAAGTAATACCTTTTGTTGTGACACTTTAGGGGATACATTGTTTCTTCATCATTAGTGCTGCAACATTGTATAGCCAAGTGATTTTTAAATTTCTGGAAGCTACATCAACAATATAGACATGCTCTGAATGTGCCTGAATGAGAATAGCTTGCTGGTTAGATATAATTAGTGTACTCATATACAATATAATGGAACAATAGGCTTTTTATCTCAAGATAGGGGGGGCGGGCTAAAGTCAAATTAAAAGATAGATCTTTATAGTAAATACGCTTAAGCATTGCAAATTATAGCAAATTTAATCTCAGAGTGATCGTTCTTTAGAAAATTTGACCGTTGCAAATAATTTTTGATGCTCTAAACATTTCCCAGTGGGATAAGTGTGAAATATATATATTCCCATAATCTGACATTTTATTAGAACAGATGAGGTGTGGTTTTAGATTTTCCTTGATGGATCTGAGGACTTAGCTTAGTTCTATGAGATACTATGTATACTATAGATACTATGTATACTATAGGTCACTATGTCGCCCAGAAGAAGGGACCCTGCGTGGCCCCAAAACATTGGCTGTATGACGCATGTGACAATTTAATAAAAAGTGTTTTACTTCTTGGAAGTTGGTTTCTATTTTTTTTTGTATGCAATCAATTTTATGCCATTTCTACAGTGGTCAGTGGGCTTTTATCCACGTCAAAACTGCTTTTGTCCTTTTACAAGTCTAGGGAAATGCAAAAGCAACTTGAAGTCGCTTGATGCGTCTTAGAAATAGGTCAAATTAAGGTCCGAAGGGGAACATCTGCAGGCCAAATGTATTGGCCAATGAACGCTGAATATCAGAAGTGTTTCAAACTGATCTCAAATGCAAAACGAGTGCACCTGAAAGCATTCGCATTTGCCCATCAATACAGGTCCTTACGGAACATTAATGCACCTTCATTGTTCCTCTTTTAGCTCTATCAACTGCTATGTAATGCTAGGGCCTGTCTGACTGGATACAAATTCAATAGATTTAGATATGACCTTACGTTTTATAGATTTGTTAAATCTAAAAGAGTGTACAGAGATTGTAAAATCAGATTGTCTACAGACAGTTTATGTCTTGAATACTGTAGCCTACAAGGATATCTCTCTGGCTGATAATATTAATTATCCTGCAGTTCTGCCGGAGATAAAATAATATTTCCATGGGTGGCTGACAAATACCCTGTAATACTGCTATGAAAACAAAACAGCATACACTATACAAATTTTGTTACTTTTTTTACATTTCTATAATTTTCTTCCTCACAGGCCGACTGATGATAGCAACCAGCCTCCGGGCAGGGGGGTGTTATCGATGCAGGGACTCACTTATGGGGTCATTCGAGTGGACTCCGAAGAAAAACTCTCAGTGCTCACCGTGCAGGATGTTGGGACAGTGATGCCTGGTGGTGAGGAAATAAAACCATAAACCTTAACTTTTTTATTTATTTATTTGCAGTCATTCTTAAGGCTCCATTCACACCTAAACATCAGCATAGCCAGGACTCCTATTAACGTTCATGAGGGCAAATTGCTACATTTTGACCCATATGAAGCTCATGAGCTTTTCCGAGCTCCATATGACTGGTGAGAAGCGACACAACGAGCTGGTGTGAACAGGAGCCATTGAAAACAATAGAATTCTCCATTTGTAACATCACAAAATTTCAGTCCAAACCTTGTGAGACCCTGGGGTGGGGTTGATTTACTAACAGGAAATAGTCTGTTCCCTTTGCAGGGGATTTTTTCTTTAGCTTAGGGAATGAGGTGAAGTTATATTGACTATCATCATGCAATCATGTGCAAGAAAAATACTGTTTTTCTTTTTAATTTTGCGTTCTCATGATTGGGCCTTCCTTGCAAAACGATTTTTCACCACATGCACAAAGGAAAAGGAAATCCCCTTGCAAAGTGCAAATTCCCCTGCAAAGTGAATAGCCTATTTTTATTTAGTAAATCAGCCCCTAGTAGTCAGAGACAGTAGTACTACTGCAGATATACAGCTATGAGGCTATGGGTAAAGGAAATGCACTACTATTTTGTAAGAGGATTTTATGGCAAAAGGTAAATCTTTCAGGGTGCTGCTCAGACACACTAAACAAATTTAATTGTTCCCTACAATATAGCAAATCTACACTTTTTGTGTTCAAGTCCACTTTAAGTAAAGGTACATTTGCAGGAACCTAGCAGTGATATTTTACTGTGGTCATCTAAGGCCAGAGACCTGGGTGTGCCAGAGGGATAAAATGCGCAGCTGAGCTAACCACATTGTTTAAGGCATTCTGTTGAGGAAGGAAAAGTGGAACATGTGAAAGATGCTTTCACACAAGATTGCTTGCAGCTGCTCTCTGTTCTGAACGAATTCCCTGCCAGCAAGAGTACAGCTCCTTTACTTTGCTTTTTTCCTAATGTCAAACGACAAAACCAGAATAGTTTTTTCTAATTTTGTTTTCATTTTCCTGACATTTGTTAAGTACAATTAAATAAATTAGTTTTTTATGTGTCTTGCCATGTGTATATATACTAGCAAGTTAAACATAAATACAGCTATAAAAAATTAAAAGAAATGAGCAAACTACTGAGAAGCCTACACTGAGATCACTTTTCCGAGTTAGAAATCACATACAAAGTTAAATATTCAGACTTTTTTTTATTGTTATTTACTGGAATCTAGTTTTTAATGGACATTCCTGCCTAAAATGGATTCAGTTTAACCAGCCACTGTATATAAACAGCCAGTTGGTGGAGCAGTTATTCTAGTAGGACGTGCCTGTGCGTCCTTTTGTGTTTACCTTTGCACGCGTGCACACACAGGGGTGGGGGGCGGAGGAGAGAGACTTTGATGGGCTGGGCAAGAAAATATCCAGTGGATAAGGGTCTGTTATGAATTTTGAGGACACCATGCCCCATTTTTTTTAATTTTTTTTTAAGGTACAGTACACATTGATTACAAAAATGTGTACTACCACTTTAATAAAAACTCCAACAAGTGGGGTCCTCCTCAAATCCATACCAAACCCTTATCCAGGCATGCAGCATGGCTGGCCTGGAAAGGGGGGGCAGTGAGTGTTCCCCTTCTGAACCATACCAAGCCCAAACATTGGGAAGGGTACCGTGCAACATTGGCAAGGCACCTTGTCTACTGGTTGATGTGGACAATGTCCTAATCCCCACATCCCTGGCCTGGTACATGTGGGAGTCTGCAGGGGGGCATTGGAAACATGAAGTCTCCTTTACAATAAGAGGGCCAGATATCGCCCCCCCCGTGTGATTAAGGGGTACATAGTACTACTTGTTACTCATTCACAAAAAAAATAGTAATTAAAAACAGACACTATAGAAAAAGTCATGTTTAAATTTTTTTTATAATAAACACTGTCCCTTAATGTAAATTCAACATCAATTACATGTCCAAAGATGCAGATCAAGTGCCCGTGATGAAGAGTGATGCCCAACAACCCGCAAAAATGACAATGTTGCCCCGCCATAATCCCATCGCGAAATGACTTCCCTGGCTGCTTTGATTATATTTCCACAGTAGCTGGATCTTGGGTCCCGTTTGACCATATTTGGTCAATGACATTACCCAGGATCCCCAGCCAACCTGTTTACAAACAGAACAAAGGCGTTGAGGAACGATCAGCGGTGGTAGTTTTTAGTTTTTGTTTTTTTTAATTCATTATACTGGTGCACACCTTCATAAGCATGTTTAAGGAATTCGCCATGCATGTTATTTACAGGATTTGTGTATTTTTAATGTTTCCCTTTAAGCTTTGTTAAAAGACCCACTCATTGTTGAATGGTATTTTTTTTTAAATGTTTTGCATGGGTGCATATCATCCATGGCAGTGACCAGCTCCCTGTGTCTTCTTTTTTTTTTTTTTAAACAAAAACTTGCAAATTGTCCTCGCAAAGGTGCAGGAAAATTACAAAATGAATGTAGTATTAAAGTCTGGTCGTTTTTTACCTTAATGCATTCTCTGCATTAAGATAAAAAAATTACCAGTACATTTTTGTGTTCCCCATCCTCCCCACATTTACCTGTGTTGCCGCGGTCAACATCGCCGGTCCTGAAGCTATCTTCCGTTCCCTGAACTTCCTGGATGCAGGGGAGGATACTGAGAGAAGAGGAACCATAGGCTACATCTGCCGTCAATGACACTTTAGGGAGGAGAGGATGGGTGTGGCCTGCCGCAGAGCTATCTATGGACGATCACATCATCTGCTTAGCTCCTCCCATGCAAGGGGTGGGGGGATGAGCGCTGTGGGGACCCACTAGGGGATTTTTTAAAGAAAAAGAACTAAAGATCCATAAAAAGATGGGCTTCCTAGATCTAAAAATAAAAAAAACCCTGAAGCTTTAATAGCACTTTAAGCTTTCATAGATGTCACTTGGGTTTGGGGATTTCCTGCTGGGTTTGGCAAATGTCTATTGAACCAAACTTTGCTTTCTTCCTTTATAATTACGTATGGAGCTCATGGCTTCTGTTGGTTCTCTACTTAAATAAGCCCCAAGTTTTTTGCATCTGTCATGGAAGTGTTGCATATACTATATGGCGGAAGGTTTATGGACAACTGACCATTACACCTAAATTAGCTTTTTAGGCAATCCATAGTACCATAGGCATTAATATGGAGTTGACCCCCCTCTTTGTGGCAACCTCCACTCTTCTGAGAAGGATTTCCAAAAGGTTTTTCCCCCTCCCCGAAGTTATAACTGGCTTTCTTTTTGCAAGGTTTGGGGTGTGTCTGTTCATTCAGCCAAAATAGCATTTGTGAATTTGTGAGGGATGAGAATCCCTGGCTGGCATCAAAGTTTCAATTGATCCAAAAGGTTTTGAATAGATTTAAGATCAGGGCTCCGTGGTAAGTCTTTGTAGCAAACAGTCAGCACACAGCTCACTTTGGCTCCTGTCAGTTTCCCAAAATGTTTGTAGGAAACAGTCAGCGCATGGTATAGATCGACCTTCCAAAGTCCTCCTTATTATACATGGCATAAGCCATAACTGCAGGCTTATAGAGTTATGAAACATGCTGACATGTTTCAACCCCCAAGGGCCTTACTCATAGCTGTTTGTTCAAATTACAACTCCACAATAAATTCCATAAGCAATAAGCAAAAATTATAATCACCTTAATTGCCTACCAGCAGAAATATCATCACCTACTTGTGTAATAGATAAAACCAACAAAGATAGATAATAGATAAAAAAAACACAGTGTATATATAAAAAATTACAAAAGATCTAAAATAATGTAAAATAAATTACATATACCGTGTCACAAAATGTCAAACAAATGAATCCTTAGAAAGCAGACACCTGTATGTATTTGCCTAATGCATGTACTACTTTCTAGTTTTATTTCATTCTCAAGTTCCCCTAAGTTTCTGGTATTAAAGAGACAAATATAGCCTCAGTTAATAGCAAATTATTCTATTAATCAATGTGCTTTTTATCTTATTCTATTAGCCTTATTTATTAAGGCATTAATACAGTTACAGGACATGGAAATGTATCCACTCTTGCAACAAAATCGTTCTTGCTCCACCCTTCTGAATGGTATTTATTAGGGATGCACTGATACCAAGTACAGTACTCGGTGCATGTACATATACCGATACTTTTCAAGCTCCAAGACTAGACTAGAGAAAAATCCAAAAGTTAGGAGGCAGCTGTCATTTGTAAGGAGCACACGGAGCTCCTGGGATTTGTACACCTCTGTTTTAATGTATGATTTTGTTTTTATAAATATAAATAAAGGGATGCACCGATACCAGTTTTGTTAGTATAAGTACTGGTACTTGCCCAAGTTTTTGTTTATTGTCATGTGATAGTTTTTCTAAAACAATATTAACTAGTGATTTCAGGACAGTGGTGGAGTGCCAGAGCCAGGTCCCTGCTGCAACCCTGGTAGTTCTCGTGAAAATGCCAAGTATCGGCATTGGTACTCGAAATGTATCAGTGCATTCCTAATATTTATTGTGGAGTTGTATTTTGAACAAAGGAGCAATTATTAAGGCCCATGGGGGCTGAAATGTGTCAGCATGTTTGTTGTACCTGGTGTTACATCTTATGCTTTGAACTAATAAGAGGACTTTTGAAGGTGGACCTATACCGTGTGCTGACTGTTTCCTACAAATACTTTGGGGGGGTTGACAGGAAGCAAGGATTTGTACTGGAGTCCCTTGTTGTCTGATTGGCCATGAAAGGTAGAGCTCTCACAGTTATCCTTATCATTTGCTCTGTACAGGTCACTTGAGTTCCAACACCAAATTTGTCAGACCATGTATTTATGGAGCTGGCCTTGGGGCACAGTCATGCTAACACAGAAAAAGCCCCCCAACCCCCTCCCCCCAACTGTTGCACACGTTTGGAAGCACACAGTTGTGTAAAAGGTTTTCATGTGT